GGTGTGGGTGCGGGTGTGGGTGTGTGGGTGTGGGGTGGGATGGGTGTGCGTGTGGGTGGGCGTGGGTGTACACAAATAGGAGACCCACCCACACCGACACCCACCCACACCCACACCTACACACCCACACCCGCCCACACCCACCCACACCCACACCTACACACCCGTCCACACCCACACCTACACACCCGTCCACACCCACCCACACCCATACCCACACCCACACTTTTTGGTGGCCATGGCAACACATCGATTTTCAAATCTTTGATCTTTTGTTGTGACATCTTCGATGTGTGCCATGGTGCCAGATCTTGTTGAAAAAGTAAATTTCTCTTCCTGTTTTTTAATTGATGAAAATAATTGTTTTTCTAATACCTGACAATATGTTTTACTGTTCATATTGTCCGAATAAACTAAACAAGTTGTTTGACCATACCCTGAAATACCTCCCCACAGGCCAACTTTACCACCCTTACCGGTGTTAGTATCAATTAGACAGTCCTTACTTAAACGTTCAGCATCAGTACGCCATACCATAATTTTCTTTTTCCTTTGAAGCACGTAATATGTAGTTTCATCACTAAAAATAATGTTCATCCAGTCCTCAATGGTATAATCTTTATGTTGTTGACACCACGCCAAACGTTTTTGTTTCTGTGTTATGGTTAGAATTGTTTTTTTGCGCTTCACACGATATTTGTATCCTAAAATATGAAGTTGACGACGAACAGTCTTCGTTGAAACTGGTTGAGAAAGAGACATGTGGAGTGCTTGCGTAATTAGTCTTGAACTTCGTCGATTTTGTCCTTGAGTGAGACGTTTGAGATAGCGAGCTGCCCGTTGTGAAATTTTTCTTGGTCGTCCGGATCTTGGCAGATCTTGATAAGTACCATGTGTACGAAAACGCGGAACAGCTTCTTTGGCACAATGTTGAGATATTTTCAGTTGTGATGCAATTTCAGCATATTTGAGACCTACTTCACGCAATGCAACTGCCTGAGCACGTTTGATATCACTGATCGATTTCTTACCCATTTGAATTTTTACCTTCTTTAGAAGTCGTTCACGAAATGAACTCGTTAAAAGAAAGTGAGTAAAAGTAGATAAACAAACCAGGTTGTGTTTTCTATTGAAAGAAGAGAACAGCTGATGGCGAAGTTTAGCTTTCTGTAAGAGATTTAACTGTGAAAAATTTCTAGTCGATTTAATTCTGAACAAAATGAGACCTTTTCTGGCTTTCTAGGCCATTTTGAGACCAAGTTATAAGCAAAATACTTTTGAGAGTGAAACACACTGACAAAAAGCGACATCTTTCGAAATGAACTGAAAGTTTTTGATTTTACAACTTTAAGATGTGACGATGAACGAAACCAAGAAAGACATATTCTTGTGCAGAATTTTGTGCTCTATTTATCTAACTAATTTTAAAAATAAAAAAGTTTAGTTTTCATGACGAAAGTTTTAAAAAACAAAGGTTGGCCAGTTTTTCTAAAACCTTTTCCTTCAAAAAGATCTATGAAAATCTGATTATTTTTAAACTTCAAATACATCATCTTGTGCAGTTTTTTATGCTCTTACTTTTGGTGTATAATACATTGAGATAGGATTTAATTTAACGGAGTAAATGGCTCTTGTTCGAGTTTTTGCGGTCGGATTCAATAAAACGGACTTTAGATGGCCAAAATAGAGTGGAAAGTCCAAAATCTTTTTAGCAGTAGATAGCTCGTGAAATTCTCTATCGAAGCATCAAGGTTTCAATTTTTTTTAGCGAAAAATTCTTGGTTAAAAACAGCAAAATACTAAAAGGCAAAAAAAACGTTTTTCACCTAAAAATCTTTTTTTAATTTTTAAAAGCTGCAGTTAGAAGATCTAGCCGCATCCAATAGCGCATTTAGTAGTCCTTCTTTCATACTATCTATATCACTTCTTAAATCAAATTTCTATCGCTTATTGTTTGAAAAAAAGAAGAAAAATAAAAAGTCCTAAACTTTTGTCCGGCAGTGTATATACTCAAATTTTTTCTTCTTTTTAACCAATCAGCGTGTTCCGTGTAACTTGTATGTTTTACTATTGCCATGTGCAGTTGTTCAAATAGAAAATGTAGATGAAAAGAATTAAAAAAGTGAGTAAAAAAGACAAGGAGAAAAAGGAGATTGCAACGTTGCTATAGTGGCAGAAGGTGAAAAAAGCTATTTTGAAAACAACGCGCTTCTCAATCTCACAATACTGCATCAACTCGGAAGAAATCATCAGTAAGATTGTCTTGGTATGGTTGGTTTTCATTATTTCACTGTAATGAGCACCTTCTTAAAAGAATTTCTAAGACTGGAGAATATTTCAAACGTTATAGACAGAGCTACACAGCAGACTACAAGTAATGAAACTTCGAAAAAAAGGCAGGGACACAAATTGATTCAAAACCTAATATCTTTGAATGCTCGAAGTAGCTTCTCTAGCGATTTGCATAGAATCAGGTGACTCCAGGTCACTAATTCTTTCGAGAGACAATGCAGTAATTCAGTTTTTTGAAAACATAACTAAAGAAATTCATATAGATTATTGAGTTTCTATTAGTTGGAATTCCTGTTTTAGTCTATTCAGGAGAAAAATCACGAAATCTTCGACTCCTCTGAATCCCTAGGATTCTCTGAGATTCTTTGGAATTCCAAGGAGCTCTCTAACTTCCCTTGACTTTCTCAATGAATCCATTGGATTTTTCAGAGTTTCTTAAGAATTTTTGGAATTCTTTTGAAAGTATATGACTGTCAGTATGGGTGCGTGAGGGTGTGGGGTGGTGGGATTTGGGTGGCGGGGTGTGGGTGTGGATGTGGGTGTAGGTGTGAGCGTGAATGATAGAAAAGGGATACTTACCCATACTGACAGTCATATACTTTCAAAAGAATTCCAAAAATTCTTAAGAAACTCTGAAAAATCCAATGGATTCATTGAGAAATTCAAGGGAAGTTAGAGAGCTCCTTGGAATTCCAAAGAATCTCAGAGAATCCTAGGGATTCAGAGGAGTCGAAGATTTCGTGATTTTTCTCCTGAATAGACTAAAACAGGAATTCCAACTAATAGAAACTCAATAATCTATATGAATTTCTTTAGTTATGTTTTCAAAAAACTGAATTACTGCATTGTCTCTCGAAAGAATTAGTGACCTGGAGTCACCTGATTCTATGCAAATCGCTAGAGAAGCTACTTCGAGCATTCAAAGATATTAGGTTTTGAATCAATTTGTGTCCCTGCCTTTTTTTCGAAGTTTCATTACTTGTAGTCTGCTGTGTAGCTCTGTCTATAACGTTTGAAATATTCTCCAGTCTTAGAAATTCTTTTAAGAAGGTGCTCATTACAGTGAAATAATGAAAACCAACCATACCAAGACAATCTTACTGATGATTTCTTCCGAGTTGATGCAGTATTGTGAGATTGAGAAGCGCGTTGTTTTCAAAATAGCTTTTTTCACCTTCTGCCACTATAGCAACGTTGCAATCTCCTTTTTCTCCTTGTCTTTTTTACTCACTTTTTTAATTCTTTTCATCTACATTTTCTATTTGAACAACTGCACATGGCAATAGTAAAACATACAAGTTACACGGAACACGCTGATTGGTTAAAAAGAAGAAAAAATTTGAGTATATACACTGCCGGACAAAAGTTTAGGACTTTTTATTTTTCTTCTTTTTTTCAAACAATAAGCGATAGAAATTTGATTTAAGAAGTGATATAGATAGTATGAAAGAAGGACTACTAAATGCGCTATTGGATGCGGCTAGATCTTCTAACTGCAGCTTTTAAAAATTAAAAAAAGATTTTTAGGTGAAAAACGTTTTTTTTGCCTTTTAGTATTTTGCTGTTTTTAACCAAGAATTTTTCGCTAAAAAAAATTGAAACCTTGATGCTTCGATAGAGAATTTCACGAGCTATCTACTGCTAAAAAGATTTTGGACTTTCCACTCTATTTTGGCCATCTAAAGTCCGTTTTATTGAATCCGACCGCAAAAACTCGAACAAGAGCCATTTACTCCGTTAAATTAAATCCTATCTCAATGTATTATACACCAAAAGTAAGAGCATAAAAAACTGCACAAGATGATGTATTTGAAGTTTAAAAATAATCAGATTTTCATAGATCTTTTTGAAGGAAAAGGTTTTAGAAAAACTGGCCAACCTTTGTTTTTTAAAACTTTCGTCATGAAAACTAAACTTTTTTATTTTTAAAATTAGTTAGATAAATAGAGCACAAAATTCTGCACAAGAATATGTCTTTCTTGGTTTCGTTCATCGTCACATCTTAAAGTTGTAAAATCAAAAACTTTCAGTTCATTTCGAAAGATGTCGCTTTTTGTCAGTGTGTTTCACTCTCAAAAGTATTTTGCTTATAACTTGGTCTCAAAATGGCCTAGAAAGCCAGAAAAGGTCTCATTTTGTTCAGAATTAAATCGACTAGAAATTTTTCACAGTTAAATCTCTTACAGAAAGCTAAACTTCGCCATCAGCTGTTCTCTTCTTTCAATAGAAAACACAACCTGGTTTGTTTATCTACTTTTACTCACTTTCTTTTAACGAGTTCATTTCGTGAACGACTTCTAAAGAAGGTAAAAATTCAAATGGGTAAGAAATCGATCAGTGATATCAAACGTGCTCAGGCAGTTGCATTGCGTGAAGTAGGTCTCAAATATGCTGAAATTGCATCACAACTGAAAATATCTCAACATTGTGCCAAAGAAGCTGTTCCGCGTTTTCGTACACATGGTACTTATCAAGATCTGCCAAGATCCGGACGACCAAGAAAAATTTCACAACGGGCAGCTCGCTATCTCAAACGTCTCACTCAAGGACAAAATCGACGAAGTTCAAGACTAATTACGCAAGCACTCCACATGTCTCTTTCTCAACCAGTTTCAACGAAGACTGTTCGTCGTCAACTTCATATTTTAGGATACAAATATCGTGTGAAGCGCAAAAAAACAATTCTAACCATAACACAGAAACAAAAACGTTTGGCGTGGTGTCAACAACATAAAGATTATACCATTGAGGACTGGATGAACATTATTTTTAGTGATGAAACTACATATTACGTGCTTCAAAGGAAAAAGAAAATTATGGTATGGCGTACTGATGCTGAACGTTTAAGTAAGGACTGTCTAATTGATACTAACACCGGTAAGGGTGGTAAAGTTGGCCTGTGGGGAGGTATTTCAGGGTATGGTCAAACAACTTGTTTAGTTTATTCGGACAATATGAACAGTAAAACATATTGTCAGGTATTAGAAAAACAATTATTTTCATCAATTAAAAAACAGGAAGAGAAATTTACTTTTTCAACAAGATCTGGCACCATGGCACACATCGAAGATGTCACAACAAAAGATCAAAGATTTGAAAATCGATGTGTTGCCATGGCCACCAAAAAGTGTGGGTGTGGGTATGGGTGTGGGTGGGTGTGGACGGGTGTGTAGGTGTGGGTGTGGACGGGTGTGTAGGTGTGGGTGTGGGTGGGTGTGGGCGGGTGTGGGTGTGTAGGTGTGGGTGTGGGTGGGTGTCGGTGTGGGTGGGTCTCCTATTTGTGTACACCCACGCCCACCCACACGCACACCCATCCCACCCCACACCCACACACCCACACCCGCACCCACACC